AGAATTTAATTTAAGTTAAAATTAAAGTTAATAATTAATTTTAACTACACATTTTATTGAATCCACAACTTTCAATCACACATTTATCAACTTTTATCAAAATTTACTAAAAATCTTATTTTCATTTCCAATCAAATAGGGGCTAAATGTATAACATGGCTTGACAAATCAATTTTATTTATTTTTTTAGTTTTTCTTTATTGAAAATAATAATAAAGCCTTAGGCAGTTAAGAGAGCCTTTTGGTAGGTACCAAATTTACATAGCCCAAAAATGCTTGCATAATCAACAATAAAGATTTCAAAATTTTCACTGCGGTAATAGTATTTTTAAACTAATGAAATATTTAAGCTTACAACAAGGATTTTAAAATTATTACTGCATCAACAGAATTTTTTAAATAATATATTATTTAGGATTTCAATTGTAACTTGTTTATTTATGGGCAAAACTCCATCAAATATTTTCCACAATATGAATGCAGGTTGAGTTCACCTTACAGTTTACACTATGATATATTTTTTTGGGACTATATTATAAGAATTAGAATTTATCTACGATATGATCCAAATGCATTCATATATACTTGCACGGATATCGTATTTTCGAATGCACTACGCTTATCCCAATGCTCGAATGAGCAAATGTGAATGACACTAACTGGTTTTATTGTCGATCACTTGATTAAAAACGAGCAAAGGGGGAACATTGTCAACGTTTTTATTGCCAAATGCTGACGGTTTCGACGAATTTAAGACCAACCCCACATGCATTGTCTCTCCAAATAAAATTTTAAGAAACTTGGCCAATCGTTGAAGATGAAAATGAAATCACCTAAATTACGGAAAAATAAGCCCCCGTTCGATAGCCATTATTTGGCCAAAACAAAAATTTGAATAGTAATTTTTAGGAGAATGTGTGTTAAAAAGTAGGGAAAAGTTTTTTTTGTATACGTGCAAAATATTTTATTGTGCGAATGTATGGTTAAAAACGAGTGCTAGAAAAAAAGTTTTGAAATAATGATGCGAAACATGGCTAAACAAGGAATCAAGATTGTTGGCTGCAGAAACATTAAGGGACTGTTCTCTTTGTGTTTCAGTTTAGTGTTTTGAGTTTTAAATTCATTTTGGGTTGTGTTCTGAGTGTCAATTTTGAGATTGTTGAAAATGTGTTTTTTTTGACATTTTGAAAAATTGTTTTCAAAAATAAAAAATAAAAAAATGGAAAACCGGTTTACTTTTCCCTCCCCTCTCTTTCTCGTCTCTCTATCTCAAAGAAGCCCACCACCACCACCTTCATCTCCTCCGCCGCTGCACTCGACGCCACAATCACCACCTTCACTCGAATTACTAACCACAATCACCACCTCCACCTACAACCTTCCTGCTGGTTAAAAAAAATCCCCAATTCAAACCCCATCGCCACTACAGTCATCGCCGCTACTACCTCAAATCAGTTTTGACACGTGGTAAAATTGGCCTTGACCCATGGTTGGGCAAGGTGCACCAGGTAGAGAGGAAACTAACCCACGTGGTCTGTGATCATGGGATGGTCTAACAGCGTCAGAATTTGCAAAACTTGGATAGCGTTTTCGGACTTTCGCGACTGTTGTTCTTCTCGGATGAAATCCGAACATTACAGAGTTGTTTGGGCTGGATTGGGGACATGGTTTGAGTCACCCGTGGATGAGCATTCGACCAGTGGTATCGCACGACCTTGGGCGTCGCCGGATGTGAAGTTTCCGACAGAAACAGTTAGCGCCATAATGGTTTTTTAGCTTCCAATTTCTGTTAATTCTTGTTGTTTCTTGATTGATGAATGATTGGAAGTGATAGAGGGGAGTGAGGTGAGGTTGTTGGTAGTGGAACCCGGCGGTTTGGGTGGTTGGAAAGTGGCTTCCAATCTGTTTTCGCCGACGGTGGTTGTAGTGGTGTTGTTGTAGAGGTGGAGGTGGTTTTCAAATGGTCGCGCAGTGGTGGTTGGGTCGCGATGGTGGTTGGCAGTGATTAAAAACACCCAAAAGGCATTTCAAAAATTTTGGTTTGATTATAATTGAAAACACTCGAAACGACAAATTTGTCATTTTGGGTTTTCTTTGTAAATTTTTTACTTGTTTTCAAAAACACGTTTAATAGGAAAGAGAACGCGTTTTCACTATTTTGAAAAATCAAAATTAGAAAACGACTTGAAAACGGTAAAAAGAACATATCCTAATTTCCCCCCCTTCCCATTTCCCAACACCAACACCACAAGCGCCTTTTATAGGAACTCTTGAAGACTTTAATAAGCATATGTTTGGCCCCCATATTATTCTCTCATTATAATGAGAAACTCATGAAATTCTTTCAAAAATTACCTCATAAAATTTTGCGACTCGTTGATGAATTAAATATGTTAATGTCTATTACATACAATTTATGATCATGATCACGTAATGATCACAAATTATATGATGTTACAGTCACATAGTGCAAATTTAATCGCAATTCACACATTTTTATATGTCACAACTTATTTATGGATAATAAATTATCAAATTAATTGGTCATAATTACGCAATTAACTAATCACAGACTGCTCGTCGTCTCTTCGATCTCAACCACCACCATCGATACCACCCAAATTATCGTCCACACCTCAAATTCACAACCCACATCATCATGGCTTTAATCTCAAATCAACCATCACCTCCACTCCGTCACACCATAACCTCCAACCCACTACCACCTCAAACAACCACCTATTATAATTGTTTAGGTAACCCATTAAATCCTTAAGAGACGATTGCAATTAAGGGCTTTGGTTCAGGCACGCATTAGGTTCTTAGAAATAAAACCCAAACATTAGGATCGAAAAACAATGAAATTATGTGGGCGCAATTGACTTTCCAATGCCTACGCCACCATCAATAATTGTGTTTCAAAGAAAATATTTCATCGAAAATTAGATTGAAAAACTTGAGAACAAAGCCAATGAGGATCTGAATCTTGATGTTGAAATTAGTCACGACTACAACAGACTTGAATCTATATGTTGTCGCTCACATTTGGTGATGCACAAGCAAGGCACGGCGACATGTAGCGGAGCAACTTGGCCAAGGTGGGGACTGCTGATATGTTGGAGAGAGAGTGTCGGTTGGTGGAGGTGTCAATGTTTGTCGGAGTGACGGCGATGACCAGATTTCGTGGTGGCTGGACTTCCCCGTATGTAGATAGGGATGGTCGGATGGATTGGATAGAGAGGTAGAGAGAGGAAGTGAGTAGAGACATAATAACTAGAAGATATATAGCCTATGTTTGAGCCACATTAAAATTTTCATTCTCATTCTTCTACTCATTTTCAATTACGCATTTTTCAATAAAATAATATTTTTCATCACATCAAGAACTTCTCAATCAACCTACTATTTCAAAATACATTCTTTCAAAATAATGTGGCTCAAACACACCATAATTTTTAAAAATAATTATTATTATATGATTACTGAAAAAACTATTCGATTTTGAATTTGAGCCCCCGTTTGTTTCTCATTTTTCATCTATAAAAATGAAAAATATGACCGTCATTCACCACATCAAGTCATCAATTTTGAATTTCTATCTCTTGTGTGGAGTCCAATAACGACTATATTTTTCATTCTCATTCTACAATAATGAGATTAAAGGGCCATGAAACTTAAAAGGTAGGGTTTAGGATAATCTTTCCTATTTTTTATTTTTTTTTGTTTCTAATATTATTTTATTAAATAAATACAATTAAAAATAAGAGAGAAAAAAATGTATTTTAAAAATATTGGGGTCTAGACAAGGACTAAATATCGTGTAAAAAAAATGCATTTTTATGTTCTATCTTTTCAATTACATATTTTTTTAATCAAATAATATTATACTTAAATTCAAAACTTTTTTTTCTTTTTTTAATCATATACTCTTAAAAAAATCACTATTTTAAAATACATTTTCCCACAAATTTGATTTTAGTGGAGTCCAAGGCTTATATTAATTGGATATTCATGAATTCTAATTTTATATTTGATTTTATTTAGACGAATATCCTTGATAATTTGGCAATTATTATTTAAAATAACACCAAAATATTGAGTGAAAGTGGGCCATATCTTCATCAGATCCGTGGTCTCCGAATAATTTTGAACGAACAGGGCCATGTAGGACCGTCCTACGCTGTTCATGTAGCATTGCCCATGGCCTCCACTGTGTAGTTGAAAACATATCGGAAGAGTTATGTTTAAGAGATGGACGTTATCCAAGAAAAAAATGGTGTGAATAGTATATAACCTTGTAAGGAAATTTCGTTGTTGTTTGATTCCATTATTTTCAAAATACATTTTTTTCTCTTATTTTCAACAACACATTTTTCAATAAAATAATATTATATGTGAATCCAAATTTTTTCCTTATTTTTAATTACATATTCTCTATCAATTGATTATTTCAAAATGTATTATTAGAATAAAAATGAGGATCAAACAGACAGATAATCATTCAATTTTTTTTTTTTTTCTCTCATCAATCTAAACTATGATAGATAACAAGCATTTTCCTTAACTATTTTCCATCATAGTCTTTGCATGCTTCTCGCATAAGCATTAACATTTTAATCTATTTTTATCAATTATATACTTTTTAATAAAATAATCTATTTTTATCAATTATATACTTTTTAATAAAATAATACTATACGTAAATTTAAAAAAAAAAATCATTTTTCAACCATCCTTCACAATTTTTTTTTTCAAAAATTATAGTCTCAGGGGCTAAACTCCAGGAGAAAAAACGTAAAACGTGCGCAGACCGTCAGCACAAGGTTCATTTTCAGTTTCTCACTGCTCGATATTCTGCAGCGTAGCAGACTTTTTGGCGGGAACATTCATTTCTAGCCCTCTTTTTTCTCGGTCTTAGTTTCTCGGTTCGAATCTGTGCAAAGCATTTTCGATTACACTAAAAAATTGTTCAATTTCAAGGGCACAGCAAAAGTTTATTCATGGAAGACGAACCAGAACATTCAGAAAGAATTACTCGCCGTTCGGTTAGGGTTACTGATTAACAACCTCCAGTTATATAACTCGTACTTGTTTTAGTATTTTATTGAACTGATTTTGTTGGGTTTCTTTTTGCCAATTTTTATTTGAGTAGAGAAGGACTAGGACTCAGGTTAGGGTTACTGGCACAAACGTAATTGAAGATGAATTGGAGGAGGAGAGGGAAGATGTTTCGGATGACTTCGAAGAGCCTCGCCGGAGAGCCAAGCGAAGTAGGGCTGCTGAAGGTGCTTCCACTTCGGCTCACATATTGGACCAGAGTTTAATTGGTATGTAGTTTCCTCGCTTATGTGGTGTAAAATTGGAGCCGAAGTTTTACATTTTGAAAATTTATGTGGAATTTCAATGATTGGTGGGATAATATAGCGGTCTGATGGCCTTAATTGGTATAGTGGAAATTTCTTTGTTCTCTTCTTTGGCCAGTAAATTAGACATTGATCATTAGTTTGATTGTCTTTCATCTTTTTTTTATTTTTATTTTTTTTTGGGAGGGGTTGGTGTGGGAAGAGGATGTGGCACCGTGTCTGGTTGTTTGGATGGTTGCTTTAAGGATTTCAGAAGTTAATGCATTGTTTATCCACTTCTTCTCAATTATACAACTGAGATGAGTTTTTTTTTTTATTTCTTTTAAACTATTTGTCTAACCATTTGTCTTTCAAGGTTGTTTTCTGTGTCCCTCTCTCCACCTCATCTTATTTGGTGATTTCATTTTACTTGGCATGAAAGAATGTGGAGCCCGATGAATTCACTTCCGTTGTCTCTAAAACTTTTCTTTCTGCTACTTTATTTTAAATGCTCAATTAACTTTTTGTCTCTTAATACCATATGGTCTAGTCATGGTGACATTTAGAGTTGATATGTTTAAATTCACAGAGGTTATCAAAGGTGATGGTAAAGAAATTCCTGACGTGGTTAAGCGATGGGTTGAACGATATGAGGGGAACCCAAAATCTGCAATGGCCGAACTTTTAACCCTGCTCTTTGAGGTGATTTGCATTGCGTTTCAATTAAATTATTGTTCTCTGAAGGACTTTGGTGTATAAAACGACCTCAATGTGTTATCACTGGCAGGCATGCGGTGCAAAATATTGTCTTGAAGAAGAGTACCTGGATGAAACGGCTGTGGATGATGTAGTAGTTACTCTTGTTAATTTGGCTAGGAGAGTATCCTCACCTATTTCTTTATACATAAGTTTCCCTACGAGCATTCCCTTTTTGATTTTGTACTTGTATATCTTTATTGCTTGCCGCCAGTGCACTTCCTGTCCTTTTTAGAAGAAAAATTAAAATGTTTCATGAATTAGCATTTCTTTGTAGTAATGATATAAGTCCTATTTTGCTTAACATTGAACTCAGGGTGAAGTTGAAGATTATCAAAATTCGAAAAGGGAGTTCAAGAATTTCAAAGATAACCTTTTATATTTTTGGGATAATTTAGTTAGTGAGTGTCAAAGTGGACCTCTATTTGATCAGATCTTATTTGACAAATGCTTGGACTACATAATTGCATTGTCATGGTAAAATGCTTATTCCTGAGTTACTCAATTATACTATAAAAATTTGGAGCAGCTTGATTAGTATAATTGGTTCTTGTTAATGCGTTTCAGCACTCCTCCTAGAGTTTATCGTCTGGTCGCTTCATTGGTGGGACTCCAGCTCGTTACCTCCTTCATTAACGTCGCTAAAATGCTTGGTGCACAACGAGAAACTACTCAAAGACAGCTAAATGCTGAAAAGAAGAAAAGGGCTGACGGGCCTCGTGTAGAATCGCTCAATAAAAGGCTATCTACAACACACGAGAAGATAACTGTCACGGAGGAGATGATGCGCAAATTATTCACCGGGTATAAATTATGATTCTCTGTCTTATTTTCGTTAACACAGGCTAAGGTGAAAATATGGCACATGTTGACTTTCATGCTCTTAGAAGCTTTTAGCATTTTATATCCTTTATTTTGTTTGACCTTTTTTGTAACATTATCTTTTAAAGGTTATTTGTACATCGATACCGTGACATTGATCCTGACATCCGAATGTCATGCATAGAGTCGTTGGGACTATGGGTACTGTCATATCCCTCACTGTTCTTGCAGGATTTATACTTGAAATATCTTGGATGGACGTTGAACGACAAAGTAAGTTGCAATATTTGGCATTAAAGTATTACCTACTATCACGAGGTTTTAGCTTTAATTGGACGTGCAAAATATTTGATTTGCTTTTCACTTTCTACTGCATCTGAAGATTGCTGGAGTAAGAAAGGCTTCTGTCCTGGCATTGCAAAATCTTTATGAGGTCGAAGATAATGTGCCATCTCTTAACCTTTTCACAGAGAGATTTTACAAACGGATGCTTGAGCTTGCTGACGACATTGACATTTCTGTGGCAGTTTGTGCTATAGGACTTGTAAAGCAGCTTCTAAGGTATCTAATAACTTTCAATTTTTTATGTTCCTCTAATGAGCTTGTTATGTTATTCACATTTCTAGGCTTGATTTTGTGCTTGACTAAGGGACTCCTATTACTTGCAATCGAGGCTTACGCCTCGCATCATAAAGAAAATCCGCCTCAATACATAGTTTCTCCTTTTTAAACCTTGGACTAAGTGACTCCTATTACTTGCAGACATCAACTTGTGCCTGATGAAGAGCTAGGTTCTTTATATGATTTACTAATTGATGATCCACCAGATATCAGGCATGCCATTGGAGCACTAGTCTATGATCATTTGATTGCACAGAAATTCAATGATTCGCAGTCTCGTTCAACAGGTTTCTTCGAACTGTCTCCAGATGGGATATGTGCGAAATTTTGGCACTTAGTTATTCAAAACCGTTCTTTTGCAGGAAATGACAGTGATTCTTCGGAGGTTCTTCTCAGTAGAATGTTGCAAATACTGAAGGAATTCTCAGCTGATCCTATACTGAGTTTATATGTCATCGACGATGTCTGGGATTACATGGTTGCTATGAAAGTATGTTTGATGCACTTAACATTGGTAGTGCTGTAACTGGGGAAAATAACGAGAATGATTACACATCCCCCTTCTTGTCCCACCTGTCACATGCTTTCTGTGAAGAAATTTAGAAAAGGAAAGTAGAAACTGTTGATGGAACAAGGACGTAAGCTGCCTGACCAGATGTGATGGAAAAATATTAGTGTTCTTGCTGGGATCAATGTTTTACAAATATGGCTATCCTATAAAAATAACTTTGCATTACTATGGGCATACTTGTCTGCACAAATTTGCACATTGTCGATAAAGAGTCTGCTCAAGTTGATTTTCAACGTTGTTACTTAGTTATTGTCATGATTTATCATTTATGACTTTTTTCTTCAGAAGTATATTTTTGTTTTATCCATGGTTAAAAGTTGCTGTGTCTTCCTTGAAACCGGATTGTTTTGGCTGATCACTTCATCCGTCTCCTTCCTTTCCCGTATAACTGCAAAATAATTAATAAATAACAGTGCATGATATGAAGCACAAATTGGATTCCTAGAGAGCTTGCATTTGTTTGAGGCTGGGGTTTGACTTTTCTCAAACTGATTGAGACTGGTGTTAATGTGTTGCTCACTGAGAGATATTGTTACTTGCAGGACTGGAAGTGCATCATTGGTATGCTTCTGGAAGATAACCCATCCGCAGAGCTTAATGATGTAGATGCAACAAATTTGATTAGACTTCTCTCTGCATCCGTACGAAAGGCAGTGGGGGAAAGGATTGTTCCTGCTACTGATAATAGAAAGCAGCATTTTACTAAAGCTCAAAAGGTAAGTGAATCTTTAGTTGATTTCTTATTTTTTGCAAATACCTTTCAGTTCAAAATATAGCAAGTAGTCTTGTTTTATTTCTCTTTATCGCTTTTAGTATTTGCGAGTTGTAGTAGTTTGTTATCCCTCCTTTTGATTGCTAAAGTCAATTTGTATTTTTTAACTATCTTGTTAGTGTAGATCTCGAGGGGCATTTATTTTCATTTTGCTGCATACCTGTGGATATTCTGGATACATAGCTGAACTTGCATTGGCTCCGAGATTTTTCTACACAATAAAAATACACGTGGCCTCTTATTCGCAGAAATTTATCTGTGTAGTTCAACAATGGAGTTAACTTGATGAGCTTTGTTCTCTGCTGATTCGGACTCTGTACCAGTTCATAAAATAATTGGATCAATGGGTCACCAAAAATTGCTTCTTTTAGCAGGTTCCATTTGTAGCATGCAATCAGATTTGAGAATATGCAACTAACCAATCTGATTTAAAAGCCATTTATGTGCTTAGTCAGTAAAAAACGTAAAATAGGTAAATATTAAAAAATGTATCTAAGTTCTGAGCTGCACAGGGGTCTTCATTAATATCTTGTCATGCTTAATGTGACGTGATTGTCAATTCATGCGAATTCTGGGACTCAACATTCGCATTTTACTTGTTGGCTTGTCTGAGGATGGCTTCAAACTTAAACCCTTGAATTGACACACCTACTACCTATTATATTGGTCTGTACATATTTTGGTTCATGTCATAGAGGAGTTGATAGCAAGTTTTTCTCTCTGATCACCAGGAAACCTTTGAAAGCAATCGGCGCGATATTACTAATGCCATGATGAAGAATTATCCTCAGCTTCTACACAAATTTATGGCTGACAAAGAAAAAGTATCACCCCTGGTTGAAGTCATTGTTCATATAAATCTTGAGCTTTATTCACTCAAGAGTAAAGAACAGGTGGGTTTTTACAGCATTCCTTGGCCATGTGGATTAGTCAATTTAAATTACAAATGATGGAAAGTGAATGCTTTTATTATTTTTTTTTTCAGAATTTTAAAGCTGTTCTTCAACTTATGCAAGCCGCCTTCTTTAAGCATGGAGAGAAGGATGCTCTACGATCGTGTGTCAAAGCTGTCAAGTTCTGTGCCACTGAGAGCCGAGGAGAGTTGCAAGATTTTGCCCGAAATCAAGTAAAGGAGCTTGAGGATGAGCTTATTGCCAAACTAAAATCTGCAATAAAAGATGTTGTGGTATATATCGCTATTTTAGGTTTATCTTTATATGACTTTGAAGCCATATAAATTAATATCTTTTGGTCTGCAGAATGGTGATGATGAATACTCACTGCTTGTAAATCTGAAACGATTGTACGAACTTCAGTTGTTATGGCAAGTCCCTATCGGAAGCTTATATGGAGATTTCGGACATATTCTTCAACGTTTCAGAAACATAGATGAGGAGGTAGGCAAATGGAGTTTGCAGAATTATGTGTTTATTTTAATTGTGCTTGTCAATAATGAGTTGCTTGTGCTATTCAGGTCATTTCCTTTTTGCTTCTGAACATGTATTTGCATGTTGCCTGGTGCCTGCATTCTATAATATCCAGTGAAACAGTATCTGAGTTATCAATATCTTCTCTAATGTTGGAGAAGCGCACTGTCTTGTTTGAACAACTTGACTACTTTCTATGCACTCCTCCCAAAGTCGACGGTGGAAGTGGATATCAGCTAGCGTGTAGGGTAAGCACTCTTTAGCCTGATACATGCACATTACCGGTGTCTATATTTTACTTTGACACTAACCTAACAAAATGCACGTTTTTCTATAGATCTGTTCTATACTTGCTGAACTATGGTGTTTGTTCAAAAAGAGTAAATTTGCTTCAACAAAGCTGGAAATTCTTGGTTATTGCCCAGACGAGTCTACTGTTCAAAAATACTGGAAACTGAGTGAGCAGCTACTTAATGTCTCAGGTAATTATATCTCATATTACCACTGCTGTGCTATAGAGCATTAAATGGGGAGATCTAGAGTTTTTACTGCTAGGGGTATGTCCAAAACTCTGAAGATAGTCGCAGAGTTTGAAAGATTATTGAACGAGGAGATTAAGCCTATATTTGGCTCATGTTTATAAACACTCAAGCTACTTTCATCCACACATTTCGAGGAATCCACAAGTACTACCACATATCCACAACTCGTTTCTATCTATTTATAATTTAAACAGTTTATAAACAATTCCTAGGCATTCTTTAAATGAATTTTGTCTTAAAGTGTAGGGTTTATGTCCCACCATTTTCTTTATTGATTTTTTCCCATAGTTATTGGTGTTTCCGGAATGAAACAAATTATGTATTTTTTTCCCTAAGTCCTATTACTCCACCTCATTTGTTGTGCTAATTTCAATTTTTGATATTTATTTCTGATTCCTTTTGCTTGCTAATAGAAGACTGCTTGTCTTTGCGTGCTGTCTGGCATTGACACAGCAGTAGACAAACAAGAAAAAAAGGACTCATAAACTGGGAAGCAAAATCTACTTGTTAGGAGTGTATGTTTCATAGAAAGAAAGAATCATCTTTATGCAGTGATGCTATAAGTTGACATGAAACTTGAAATGAATCGGAGAACTTGTATGTGAAGAGCATTTGCTTTGAAATACCTAAATGAATGGTGATTTTTACCTGTGGTGCATGTGCATTAATAAATTATTGAACCAATTACAAAAATGTATACTTAGTTCACAACATCTACTGGCATAAACAAAAATGTACTTTTCAACCGTACCTCGAATGTATCACCTCGTTTATTCTATACTAGGTTGTAGCTTAACCCTTGATCACTGCAACCAGTCCCTGCCCATCCCTCAAAAGTGGAAAAAGAAAAGGAGAGGGGAGAACGGGTGTGGGATGGGTAAATTGCCGAAGGGATCTGGGAACACTCAAAGAAGGTGGTCTCAATTCCCATCCCAGATTATAGTCATAGTTGTCATTTGCCATTTTGGATATAATTTTTGTGTTGGTACGACATAATTGTTGAAAAAATTAACGGGAAAGAGGAAAATCGAAGACGATTTAAAGAGTCTTTGATCCTTTCTCAATCCCCATTGATGTTGATAAATACCTTTTACGCTTTCTAGATTTGGAAGAAGTGATTTAATAACCATCATGTTGTACGTATCAGACACTTCTTTACGTTTTGCTATAAAGAAAAATGTACATTTGTGGTTGCCTTAGTGTTATATTTTTCATCCTTCGCATCTACTTCCTTTGATTGCATCTTTTCCTCCATGTGGTGCATATGTTCTTTGTTTTTTTCCCAATATGAAAATAATGCATGTTAGACCTGTATTGACACAGACATGGGCGTAATAAGATTGTAAAATGTTATAAATTCTACTTTTACTCAAAGTTGGAACCACATTCGTTGATGATCTGCACCCATATGAACTGCTAACCTTTAAACCTTGGTTCATTTCCTAATATGCCTGCAGATGAGATCGAAGATGAAGATGGTAACAAAGAATATATTGAGGATACTAACAGAGACACTGTCATACTTGCTGCAACCAAGTTGGTTGCTAACGATTCAGTTCCTATGGTTAGTTATTATTTTTTGTATTTTTAATACCTTAACGTCCTCTATTTTCAGCCTACAGAATCATAGAGATCTTTTGTCCTCAAAATTGATGATTTCTTGCTAGTGTTAGTTCTTGAGTAATTGTTATTATACATGAAAGACACTAGAAGCTTGTTTGGGAGAGATTTTTTTGGGGAAGAATTGATTTTGAATAGTGATATGATGGGAAATGTGTGGTTGAAAAAAAAGTTAAGATTATTGATGTGATAGAAAATATTATTTTATTGAAAAATGTGTGGTTGAAAATGAGAATTAATTAATTGTTAAAATTGATTTTGAATAATGATATGACGGGAAATGTGTGGTTGAAAAAGAAGAAAAAATTATTGATGTGATTGAAAATATTATTTTATTGAAGAATGTGTGGTTGAAAATGAGAATTGATTTACTGTAGAAAAATCTAATGCTTCCCAAACAGGGCCTAGTTATAATAGTCATACCTATACCTGAAGGTATATTGGTTATAGGGAAAATTGCAGCTACAGGACCTAACTTTTGGAGTAATTTGGCACTTGGGTCCTACAACCATCAATAGGCGTATTAAAAAGATCCTTCTAGAGTTGAAATGTCCAACACAGGCATTAAATGCAGTAAAATGTGCAACCATCTAAAATATAAAAAACCCTACCCCACTCACCGTCCGCCCCTTCTTCACTGTTCTGCCCCCTTAGCTCACCCATTTAGCTTCCAGCCCCTAGCCCGGCCGTCTAATCAACCACATACAACGAAAGTAATGTGGAGGCAGCAGGTTTGCAGGGTCTAATGCGGCCAGGCTTCCATAGCATTCCGTCAGTATTCTCCACGCATTCTCTCATTTTGCTGACATGTTCCCCTGTATCAACCGACACAAATGAACCAGCTTGGTTTTCTCAACAATTAGAACAAAAACTTAAGACAAATTTGGCTACAAATAATGCCACCTTAAATCTTGTGGTCAGGCATCAACCAAATGAACGAGGTCAGTTCCCAGCATTCACACCATGGGGAGGGAGGCGGAAGTGTTGATGGGGGAGGAGGGACGGGGCAAGGTTTATTTCTCCCCATTTTTTTTTATTTTTTAAATTTGATGGAAAATTTATTTGACTGGGTTTAATGATTGTTTAGTGCAATTTCTGTCCAAAAGGACCTATTTACAATGAATATTGAAAATCGGGGACCCAAATGCCAAAAGACAAGAACGAGGACCCAAGTGCCTATGGTCCCAAATATTGTGGACTGATGCTGCAATTTTTTTTCTTGGTTTTCTTGTAGTATCTTATAACCAACAACTGCAAAAATGATTACATTCTATGGCAATCACACTTGCAGGAGCACCTTGGTCCGGAGATCATTTCTCACTTTGGGAAGTATGGGACCAGCGTGACTGAGATTATTAAGCATCTGATAACTGCTTTAAAGAAGAAAAATGATGACGTTTCAAATATTTTTCTAGAAGCACTGAAAAGGGTAAGACCTGGTACTTGAGGGCTGCTTTGGCCCTTTGCTTACAAATTTACATTGTCTCAATAAGAATGATTTCCGTGGTTTCAAAATTTCCTTCATGTGCGGTTTGATAGATCTCTGCATATAATAAGATATTTTCATATTCCCTTTTCAAGTTTGTATGTAGTTTTTCCTCTCTTCTCTCTTTTTAAGGCCCATTTGGCATGGCTTTTGAAAAGCCGAGAGAAGCTTTTGAGATCCAAAAGCTGCTTTTGGATTCGTTTGACTAATTTTATGTAAATGCTTCTGGTAGTTAGAAGATCTTTTAGAGGAAGTTGATCCATGATTTCCTCTAAAAGCACTTTCGGAATAGGAAGTGCTTTAAAAATTAGTTTCCAAACAAAAATTAAGGTAGATTCCTTCAAAAACTTTTTTACAAGAAGCAAAAGCAAAAGTCATGCCAAATGGGTGCTAAGTGTATTATGTGTAGGAGTGTTCTCCTGGTTTATTGTTACTTTCTTGGGTTGGGGATAAGAAAAAAGAACTCTGTAAATGTTGGAATGAACTGGATATTTCTGTAAAATATAGTTGAAGATGAACTCATCTATACAAGGAACTTGAAGTTTTGAATGATTGATTTTGGTCTATTTCACTTGGACACTGCGAGGAGTAGTGAATATGAACCCTGTCACATGAATATTCTTAAAATTTCAGAAATCTTTTGTTCCTTTTGAAGGACTACTTTGAGTACCCTTATCCATTCAATGAACCCAAAAGAGTAATGCTTGACAATAGTCCAAGTAATGCAATATATTATTTTATCTTTTATAGTTTTGTTCTTAATGCTGATAAGTGTTTTCTCCTTGAATTTTTCTTTGGCCAGTCCCATCAACGGTATCTATTAGTAGTTTCATCAAGCAATGACAAATCATTGTCAAGCAAGTCTTTTCAGGAATGTAAAGATCTTGCCTCTCGGCTCTCTGGGTCATACGTTGGTGCTGCCAGAAACAAGCATAAATCAGAAATTTTTAACATAATCAGAGAAGGCATCAATTATGCCTTTTTTGATGCTCCAAAGCAGCTTTCTTTCCTGGACAGTGTTGTGCTGCATTTTGTATCCAAACTTCCAACACCTGATATTCTTGACATGTAAGAGCTTTTTCTTTCAATAATATCCTTGCCTAGAAAGCCTGGTGCTGGTTGGATACAATGTATGTCGATTCATACAATTATTGAGATGTGATATATTGTGGTTTGCAGCAGTCAATAATTATTGCGATGCATACATATCTTGATAAATGATCTGATATGTATATATTTGGAGCATGTTCAAATACACAAATAGCAACCTCAAGAAGAAAAAAATATGATCATATCACATATATGAATAGAACTGAAACCTTCAATGTTTACCATTCATCATTTATTTTCATACAGTTGAGTAAAGGTATATAAACTTCGTAGTAGTATTTTAAAATGCACAATTCTTTTGTAATTTCTATGCTTTGATATATATATATGGTTCTCCTTAAACATGAAGATTACTGGAAATAGGGGATAAAAAGACTGTATATACCTGGATGTGAATAGTTAGTTTTTAGTTAGTTTTTCTATAATTTACCTGATCAAACTTTCTTTATCCGCTTAGAATTATGTTGTCCTGAATATTAAAAAATGATATGAACAGAAACCTTGATCGATTATTTATAACAATAAAGAGGATTATGATGATGGCGCGGCTGGTGTAACAACTATCAATAATAAGATAGAAATAATCGCGTCATGTTTGTGTTGTATCTAAAATTCAAGTCATCTATCTTTTAGGACATATCCTCGTATATTAGGCATTATCCCATTAAGGATAGTAACGGCATTTTGAAGTATCCATCATTCTTTGGTATGTGTAATATTTTTAAATTTCTGTTAAGCTAGCTAATAATTAATTGCTTTTATATTCCTAGTATGAGAGGAGTTGAGAAAAGAACTGAGAATGTGAAGACAGATCAAGATCCCAGTGGGTGGCGCCCCTATCACGCGTTTCTGGAATCCCTTCGGGAGAAGTATGCGAAAAATGAAGGTTTACAAGGTACCATTGTGCTTCCTTCTCTTTTTCTTTTTCTTTTTTCGGGGTGGGGAATTTTGTATGAAAATATATGTTATCCAGGAGTGGCAAAAAATCACATGTTTTTGTCTTAGTTGTGCTCGACTAGAAGTAGTGATCTTGCTGGTGGTGGTGCATGAATTTGTTTGTGATTAGTCTAGCATCAAGTACCTCCATGATACAGCATTTTTGGTTCTATGCTTAAAAATAAATTAAATTTCCAAACATGTTTTGATATGTGACCTTTTTCTTCCTTTTAAGTAAAACATTCCTTATTTAAAAGTAACGCATTCCTTACTATTAAAATAAGTAAACTTATTTCCAACTCCAACCAACTAAAAATAATTTATATTTGAAACTTATAAGTAAACTGTCTAAGCTTAAGCCTAACATGCCCATATGTTTCATATTCATGAGAGGAACGCCACACTGGGCATTTTCGTTCTAAGAGCTTGGTGTGGGTTGAGTTGCAGATGAGAAAGAAGGGGTGACTGTGAGACGTCGAGGTCGTCCACGCAAGAAGCAGAATATACAAGGAAAAAGACTTTTCGATGAGCAGCCTTCAAGCGAAGAAGAGGATTCAATCAGCGGCTCCGATCAAGATGCTGAAGATGAAGACCAAAAACAAATAGATGAGGAAGAGGATGCTCCTTTGATACATTCCATTAGATCAACGTCGAAACTAAGATCTTTGAAGTTTCCCAGAGAGGACCATAGGACCCAGCAAAAAACTGGGGATTCTGGTCGAGCAACAGAGAACTAGGCTACTTCCAGAACTTCAGGTATATATTTTTCGTAGTATGGGCAAAACTTGACTTGATGATTAATTTTACCAAGGACACTAACTGGATGGAAAAGAAAATAAATGTCAACAAAGAAGAGCTAAATTTTGTTTATTATTTTGTCCAATCATATCTAATACTACATACTAAACATGCATTAAATGTATCACGCAACGTAGTATTTATAGATCTTCTGTTAGTAGCGGTTAATTCTACTGTAGTATTTGTAGATCTTCGTCTTCTGGCTTTTGACTCGATTTTATAATCTGTAAAGATATTTCCGTTGAATTATGCTCAATTATTCTCGTGTTTCTTCAATCTCGCCTGCACCTCTGAACTGCCAATTTAGAACTGCTAGAAGCATAATGCTTCACGTCTTGCCATTAAAATTCACTTGTCGGGGGTTAGATGTATGTCTATGACGCCAGTGGATAGTGGAATTTATTATGCTCATCTAATCTAATTCCTCGAGGGAGGCAAATAAAATACTCTGGCAAAAGTGAACGAAAAAAAGATATATGAATATCTCACATTTGATTTACTGAAGCTTATTTGTATTGTGCAGGGGCTTCCGGTTAGCCTACTTTGAAGCAGAGGCAGTGGTATCGGGTCATCCATCTCAAAAAAGTCAGCTAGTATGAGTATTGGGGCCTCGAAACTAACACTTCTCGACTTCAGCTAGAAAATATCGTGTAAACTTTGAAGTGCGTAGTGGGTTAATCTTATTCAATGTTGCTTTCTTTTTCTATTTAGTGAGCAATGTATCTTTCAAATAATACAAACACCAGTTAGATTATATAAATACTTATGTTGATTTGGTTCTGCTAAAATTAAGTGTGATTTGCTAGGGGGAAAAAGGGGAAGCTGAAAGTCAATTTTTTATTAGATTTTAATAAAAAATGATGAAACGCATGGTTGGAAAATTGTGGGTTCTATTAAATTTGATGTTAAAATTAATTGTTAATTTTAACTTAAATTTTTATCAAATTTTTTAGCTACACCAAACAAGCACTTGTAGTAAGTTGAAATTCCTATTTCGAAAATGGCCTAATTTTTTAACTTAAGCACATGTTTGTGTTTTGTTCTTTTGAAACTATTTTTTCTATATATTCATTTTTATTGGTACATTTAGAGGTGTCCAAAAGTCCCGAATCGGACCGAACCCGAACCGAATCGAGCAGTTCTTCATAAATTAAATACCCGAATGGGTACCCGAATCGAGAACCGATGAGTTTGGGTCGGGTCTCGGGTCTAGACCAAGAACCGAAGAACCGAAACTAAATAATTTTTTTATTTTTTATATTGAATTAATTAAATTTTTTTCTATACAAATTAACAAATTAATTAAATAAATTAGATTATTTCATAATTTTAATTTTAAAGTCCAAATCATTTTTAAAATCCATTAACCCATTTTAATTTGAAGCAATTGAATATACTTTATGTAATTTTGTTGTAATATTAATATCGACTTTTTGGTATTTGTATACATTGAATTAATGTTATTGGACGGCTAGTTATGTATATGTTTTTGAATTGGGTTGCGTTAATTTGTAAAAGTTACGAATGAAATGTCATTAGTTGTATTTATGT